AAAAGAAAACATTATTAAGGAAAGAGAATAAAAGAAGAGGAATTAAGAAGATAGAAAATAACAAATGATATTGCATTTAAATTTTAAAATTAAAGTTGATTGGAAAGCAAGAGAGAATTCCACAAGTGTGATAGAAGAAATTATTAGCATAGAACTTACATTTCCCTGTAGCCTTTTCAATTGTAAAAGGATGAGACCTAACTACCAATCTAGTACTGCACTTAAATTCATCAAGTCGAGGTAACAATGAGAACAATTACCAAGAAAGTATTTATAGAGAAAAACAGAAGGGAAGCTATGTTATGGCAATGGGAAAATAACTGAAACCAAGATGCCAGGTCAGGACTGTTAACATTGCAGGCTGTTTGGATTTTACTTCAAGTAGATAAGATAAATGAAATACCAGTTACTATCGTAACACTGAATTATTTTATTACATTCAAGTATATTTACAATTTTTGTTTTTAGCAAGGTGCTCATTACTTTTATATATTGTGTATAAGTTCTGTTGACGCTTCATTTATAGCCCTTCAGACAGCTTAAAGGAATCATTTACAGCAAGAGAAATACCTTAATGCAAGTAATAGAAGCCATTTTAAGGAAAGATTCGAAAGAGTTTCCAGAAAATTCAGAAATAGCAAAAGGAAACCAAATTAACAATTTGAATTTCTGATGCAGTTTTTTTCAGAATTCATTTTCCTCAAATTGAGAAAAATCTTATTGGGTTAAATTCATTCTTGATAGAAGGAGGAGGAGGAGGTGAAGGAGGGGGTGGTGACAGAGGAATAGGAACATTTGTATTAACAGACATTTTATGACTAATATTTTTAAAAATCAATCCATGAAAAGCATGTGGGTTAGTTCAATGAACCCCCCCACCCTGCAAAGAAATTTGTTTCAACAATGAACAGTGGCATGTAAAGGTCATATAGATGTAAAACTGGGAGAGTAGTGAAACAATGGTCACTTGGACAATAGTTCACTATAGTTTTATGGCACATTGACGCTTATATAACGGTCAGGTCATGCTAAACAAGTATTTTCAAGTAGATTCTCATAACCTGCAATCCCATGTTAAGTTTCTGATTCTGAATGTGGTTTTATGGCACAATGACTCCTATATAATGGTCATGTACCAAAGAAGATTAAATGTTTGTGTTGTTTACATTATTCAGACTGTTATCCTGATCTTCATTGCCATATTCAAAACATTTTGGCCATTGTACACTCTGGCCTTCTTCAGGTGATTAGAACTTTGAACTGAACCCTTTATTTTATCCACCGGGGGTAGATTGTACGAGTTCCACATGCCATGCCTTTTCTAACTCTTCGGGTCTAGTCACTGGATCTAACCAAAAAACTTGGAGAATTGAGTTAAAGGGAAATAATAGACATCTGGAAGAGGCATGGGATGTGGAACTAGAACAATCTACTCCCAATGGACAAATTAAAGGATTCAGTTTGAAATCACCTGAAGAAAGCTGGAGCATACAATGGCTGAAATGTTGTGAATATAGCAATGAAGACGTAGATAACAGCCTGAATAATGTAAGTAATCAAAATACCTCATCTCAGAGATATAGACATATTTGTATTGTGTCTGCTCAAAAAAAAAAAAAAAAAATGTTTAAAAAACTTAAATATAAAACCTTGTCTAAGGAAGACTTACTTTTCTAACATTTGACAGGGGCAGATATCTGGTGATCCTTTACATGTAGTGACCCACTCCCATGTGACAAGAAAATTATTTTGACCCGTGGGGATGGACAATAGGGAAAAGGTCAGGTAAGCGGAACAAAGAAATAGTCATACAGCAATGGTAGAAAAGTATCTCACCTGGCATATTCCCGTTGACTTGTGTAGCTGGTACCTAATTTACTAAAAGATACCAATTTTAAATCAATTTCATTCTCCAGCTGCCGAGCCTGGCGTCTCAAGTCTGAAAAGTAAAAAAAAAAAAAAAAAAAAAAAAGTTTAAATAATTTAATGATGGAAGGCAAGCAGAAAATAAAGGGAGCAAACCTTGCCACATAATTTAACCTTTTGAGTTGCTTCCCTTGTTTGGAGGACTGCTCCCACAAAAAGCAAGACTGCTGATTAAAAAGTCCCTAAATGCTATCTTTTCCAAGATCAGTTATGGTAATTTAATATTAAAGGGGTAAATGTGGAGAGCCATCATTGCCAACACCCTGAAGAGGCATACCATTTAAGGAAAAAACTAATATTGCACCGAGATTATTTCCTCAACATGACCCCTAAAATCCCAATTTGAAATTTATTTTCTCAGTACTGATTGGCTGCTTAGTTCTTAAATTTAAAATGGTTAACATTCCAAACAGATATCTCATACTTTGTAAAAAATACCAACTCACACAAAAACTAAGTATACAAGAAGAAACTTTACAGGTTTTTTTTTAGGAGGGAGGGGGGTATGAGAGAAGGTGCATTTTTTTTTCCCCTCTCTGAGAGACCCCCCTTTTCTGCCTGCCATCAACATGGCTGATGCTATCCTCTAGGTGAGTGACTTGTTACACCTTCCCAGGTTAACATTCTTGGCTGACATGAAGTGGAAAGACAATATTGAATCCATTATTAGGCCAGCTGCTAGAAAAGTTGGTTCAGCATATCATGTTAGATAATTTTCTCTCCTGAATCTATCTGTAAGTCTACCATTCATCCATGCTTAGAATAGGCTGCCACATATGGACCAGTGTTCTGGCTATATATTTAGAGATTCTTGAAAAATTCTAAAGAAGAATCTTACTTATAAAACGCAGATTGTGTGTGTGTGTGTGTGTGTGTGTGTGTGTGTGTGTGTGTGTGTGTGTGCATTTCTATATGGGATCGGATTTCCTACATTTTTCAACCGATTTCAACTAAACTTCACTTTTCTTTTGGCAGGTAGTGTTTCTTATTGTCTTGCACACTTTTTTCTTTATTTTTACATTCAGAATGCTTTAAAAATTCCATTTACAAGACAATTGTTTATAATAAAATTCTATTCACCAATTGATAGACTCATAATGATTGAAAACAATGTTTTTGTTTCAGTTTGAGTTTGACCAATTCGTAAAAAAAAAAAAAAAACTAATTAAGACATGCATGTCCGTCAACCTTAAACAATAATCTTTGTCAATTTTATTTTTCAGTCTTTATGATGGTTGATACTTGATCTATCTCTTACTGTTACATCCCCGGGCAACTGCTAGTCAGTAATATTATTGGTCTCAGCTTCAGTCACTTTCCCATTGCTATAAAGATGCATCCCTGTGTCTTTCCTATAAATACTTCCATGGTATCATTTTTGGATGAGCTCTTTGCTATTGTACCTAGACTATGAATTCAAGTGTAGTACTAGACTGTCAATGAGGTCTCCTTAATTTCCAGGTCAATCTAGCTAAATGTAACCCTAAATTCTATGCTAACATTTTCTTTTCTTGATTTGGCACTCGTGGAACTCTTGCAAATCCATGATTTCTAGTCAACTTTAATCTTCAAAAAAAATTAAATGCAATGTCAATTGCTATCTACTGTCTTCCTGATTACTCTTCTATTGTTTTTGTTCCTTAGTAATGTTTATTTTCTAATTCGTCCACACCCAGTAACCCCCTAGTGTCTTCACTGCCTTGCTTTGGGTGAATTTGATGTTTTAAAAAAAAAAAAAAATACCCTGAAAATTACCAGCTTTTTTTCTCCTCCAAAAATGTACAATTTATTTATCCCCCACAACCTTGTGCACCTATGCACACACCTACATTACCATATCACTTAGATTTTGTGGATTTTACAAGTCCATTAATAAACAGGAACGAAGGCATAAGGAAGTAGCCCATGTGATGGAGGGGGGAGGGAGAAAGTTTCTGAAGAAGCAAATGAGAGAGAGAGAGAGGTGCTGAGAGCCTTACCAGACAAATCGGAATCGACCGCCTGGGTTACACTTCCTTTTTCCATTGTAGTGGAATCTTTGACTGAATTAACAATTAATTGCAGGCAGGGAGAGAGTCTGCAAGTTGGGAGGAAACAAAAGAAAATTACTCAAAGATTGAAGAAAAAAATAAAAAGAAAAAAGGGGGGGAAAAACTGTGCGTCGTTTCATAATCATGTCAGACTCACAACAAAGAGCATGGGGGGGTGATGATCTAAAACCCCAACCTAATATGAAAACAATTTTAAGTAGGCTCAAATCTTTTTTTTCTTTTTATAAAGAAATTGAGTATACACAATACATACACATCTACATAGTGGAATGTAATTTCTAGATATGATATGCAAATCTATATAGCGAATTAATAGTGGGTAACTGAATGATAAAATGCCAAGAATCTCTATTACAATGAATTAAAAAAGTCATTTATTAAAGGCAAAAGTGTATAGAAAGTGCACTGATCTCAGAGTCCTCTATTGTAAATTCATGCTCAGGATTGTACGATGCATCTCCTTTCCTAACAAAGATACTGTGAATACAATGCGCGATATTTACAAAGAACAAAGATAAAAAGAAAACCAATCAGAAATTGAAGGAGATCAGAAGGTGTATGCGTCTAGATATACATCGGACAGCAAAATATGTTCCTGTGTCTTCAGTCTAGAATCCCACCCTCTTTTACTGATTCTGGATGTGGTTTTATGGCACACCGACTCATATATAATGATCATGTACCAAAGAAGATTAAATGTTTGTATTGTTTACATTATTCAGACTGTTATCATCATCTTCTTTGCCATATTCACAACGTTTTGGCCGTTGTACGCTCTGGCCTTCTTCAGGTGATTGGAATTTCAAACTGAACTCTTAATTTCGTCCACCCAGATAGATTGTTCTAGTTCCACATACCACACCTCTGCCAGATGTTTCAGTTATTTCTCTTTAACTAAACTCTCCAAGTTTTTTTGATTCACCCCCTACTGTAGCCTGGTATTGAACTCACAACTCTTTTCTTTCACTGGATCTAACCAACACAGTGATGAACCAAAAAAAAAAAAAAAGTAAACACTTTTCTTCTATCTTCCCTTCTTTCTTTTCCTTCATTTATCTTCACATTGAAACCAAATCATTCGATGCAATCAAAGCAGAATTGAAATGATCATACAAACGAATGAAAAAAAAGAGACAAACACAATTCTAATCAGACATTTTCAAAGGCAATCAAAACCAAAAATTATTTTCCCTGATTATCTCCCTTTGACAATCAGGTGACAAATTGGTTGTCAGGACGACCACACAATTGAAGTTAGCGGGAGAGAAGTTATATTCATTTCTAATAAAATGCAGCAATTAATAGTATGCGAAAGAGGAGTGACTTCTTTCAAAAAATATAAGTTTGACCACTAACATTATTTCCACCTAACAGAGCTAAACTTTTGACCATCAATGCAGTTTTATGGTATCAACAAGCACTTGATAAGAATTACATTAACCTCACAATAAAGACCACAATTGTTTATCATGTCAAGCAGTTAGTAGTACCCCTCACCCGACAGGTACCTGAAAGTGCATCAAGTAGAGGGTACCAAATACTGTCAGGAAAAGCAGGTATTCGCCTCTTATTCCAGTTATTGGTTGTCTCCAAAAATAAAAATGCATACAAAATATTTAGATTTTGGCATTAAATAGCCCATAGAGGTTGATTATGTTGCTAATCAACCAACCAGTAAGTCATCCAAAGTCTTTATCTAGGGAGTAAAATATATATATATATAATATATAAACCTGAAGATATATCATCATTGCCTTGAATGTTCAATCATCTGGGCAAGTGAGAAGGGCACACCTAAGGGCAGAAGAAACAGACAATCTTTTCCAATTTTACTGGTGGTCACTCTCAGAAATTCTTGCATCCATCCACTCTTTGATGTTGATATATGTCCAAGTTTAAATTATTTTTGTAGAGAAAGAAAATTTGGATGACTTACCAGGTGGTTTCTTATTAGAAATAATAATAGATTAGTGAGACAAATCTTACTAATTAACCCATAGCTGGGAGGAGATGAGGTGGATTCATACCTTCCTGAAGGTGTTTGGATGTAAATAAATATAACAAACCCAAATGGAATTAGAACTCTGATCTTCAATTAACAATTTCCAAGCCATAACACCACCTGCACATCCAAGATTATAGAACCTTATATCTTAAGTGGTCACCCATCTAAGCACAGACTAGGCTAGACACTGCTTAACTTCGAGGTCTGTTTGGTAACCAGGGTTTCAATGTTGCTGCTTCCGATAAACCTCTCAACTCAACAGTATTCACTTGTGTTCATTTTCAAAGAATTATAAGGAACAGTTAGCAGTTAGCTGCTCTAAGTCAAGAAAAAAAAATATGCTCAAATCAATCTGTTAATTCTACAGGAGAAATTATTGAATGAAAAAAGAGAAAAACAACTTGGATACTTTTTGATAGCTGTAAAGTAGGTGTACCTCCACTGACTTTTCGATACCTAAGTTTGAAAATTAAATTTTAAAAAAATGAAAAATCATTCTTGAAGCTTTCATTCTAGTTTTAATTGAAAGCTAAATGATTAAATTTATTATTTCAAGTAAAATATCCTGGTTTATTTCAGATAGAAATTATATAGATTGGAATGTCAAATAATTGCTTGATTTTTTTTTTAATTTTCTTAAAAGCAGTTATTTTCTTCATTTTTAAGAAATTTGTAAACAAACACATTTATCGGATTTTAAATTCTTTGAAAATTAAATTATAGATTTGTGACATTATTTGATTAAAATTAGAAAACTTAAAGTTAAATTAATCTGATTTGAAATGAATATTACTTATAGCACACACACACACAAAGTATAATATAGAAGAATTTCTTAACAATGGGTTCCTCTTTCTTTGATCTTTATTGATTTATAGAGAAGCTCTTAAGGTGTTGACAGCTCATATGGATGACCAGAAATGACATATTTACAAAAACTAAATGAACGCATTTTTTTTTTTTAGTTTTTAACTACCTAGTAATTTTTAAAAATTAACATATTTTCAGAAATCATTTAATATTTTATTGACTTTTAGTTAAGTTTTTAAGAAGCTTTATGAAATTTGCATTTCGTCTCTAGGTTCTTAAGTGTACTACCTTAAATAAAAAGGTTACTTAACCGAAATATGACCCAAACTAAAATAAATACATAAAATAAAAATATTTAGGGAAATAGCAATTAAAAAAAGTAAAACTCTTTTTTTTTGGTTATTTTGAAAGGATGATTTGCAAAGACATTACTGGTGAAACAGAACTGAACTAAACTTTAATAATTGCTGTGTGTCACTTAAATCATGCAACCTTTTTAAGGATCATGTCATGTATAGATTCCCATAGGTAGAAATTAGGAACGTTTTTTTTTCACTAAAAATTATTTTTAAAAATATTCAGGTTCACACAACTGTTACGAGCTTTTCAAATTTCGATTCGTAAATTTACTTTTCACTTAACGATATCAAATTGAATTCTTGAAAGTAATGAAGAATTTTAAACAATTTTTGAACTATTATATTATAATAAAAATTAAAAAAAAATTAAAAAATGAAAAACTTCTTGTAAAAATTCATTATTCATTGAAAATTTATTTCTTCAGACAATAATTTCCTTAATATAACCTATTTACAAAAGGAATTAAAAGCTTTTTTAATTAAATAATTTCAGATTTATTGCATTTTTTATTTTACAATTCAAAGATTTTCCATGAAACAGGTAATTGTTTTACAAAAAAAATTTACTTTCTTCAAAGAGACCTTTTTAACTAAAAGAAAAAAAAAAAAAAAAATCCCCTCCCCATTAAGAATTTAATTTCTCGAAATTTCATGAAATTATAAATTATGTAAGTGGGTGGTAACATATGTAAAAAAAAATTTTTTACGAAGATTTTCTTAAAAAAAAAAAAAAAAATAAAAATAAAAAAATAAAAAAAAAAAAATAATAATTTTATTCATTTCTGAATATTTCCTAAAAGTTTCATTAAAATCTGACATTTATTTGAATTTTGCAAGAATTCACAAATCAATGTGTCTTTTCCTTGGAAAAAGTGCAAAATAAAACAAACCTTTTTTTCTCTAGTTTGCCAATGACATAATAAAGATTTTTAGAAAGGAGTAAAAAATTTCAAAAAATAATAAAATACATTGGTCTCTTAACAATAACAAACATTTTGATGAAAAAAAACTTTGTTTTTATTGAGTTTGGGATCTTTTTTCATCATGCGATGCCATTTTTTCATGTGACCTAGTGGAGGTACCTACTGTAAAGTAACAGTTTGATTTGGTTGGTTTTGTTTACTAGAATTATCTACACCTTTGTGGTTTTACCTAAGGCTGAAATCTAAATATTTTTAAGGAAATTTTATACCTTTGACTACAGATGTTTTGTACACAATTTCATACTTTCAGGGTAAATGTATATTTTTTAGATATAGATATATAGCTTGGAGAGGACTAAATGTATTGTCAGTAATTTTTTTCTTTTTAATGTATTGCTGGTAATTTTACTATAAAAATGTATTTTTGTACTTTAGTGTTATAATGATTGTCATTTTGCTATAAAAAAAAAAAAACATCATATTGGACTTTTTTTTTTTCTTTTTTAAAATAGAAATGTATTGCTGGTATTTTTATTATAAAAAAAAAAAAGTTTACATTTTTTTTTGGGGGGGGGGGTCACTATTTGACCATAGCATGAAGCCTAAGAAGTGCTACCACCTCAGATCAGGGTGTGCCCAAGAACAAGAGATGGTTCAATGCTTCTCAAAATCTCCAATCTCTTGATCAGACGCCTTGCTGCCAGACGCGTAACAGTCTGAATAGTGGTGATGAAAAAGTTAGTAAAATGAAGATGAAAGAAATACTAGTCAAGAATTAATAATCATTGAGAGTAGACATCCAAATAAAAAAATAAAGTAATATTACTGTTTATTTACAGGCAGTTATAGGTGACTTCATCTAAAAATATTACGGAAATCAGTACCACATCATACTTATTATAAAACCCAGGTTGTGAGTGCGTGCCTGTACGTTTATATATTGGATCGGATTTCCTACAT